GGTGCAGAAGGTGAGCACAGGCATATCTCATCATCTCACATTCCATGTGTTTCACCTGTCTTGAAGCTCTCACGTGATCTGAAGCACAGCTCAGGTCAGTGTCACAGTCATTTTGCAAACTATGAACAATAGAAGTGCATTCGAGTGTGCCCTGTCTCTTCCAGACACTCCCTCCCAGAAGATGCAAAGAAGTATTTTGACAAGGAAAGCAGAGTCCTGGAGGCCCCGGTGACAATCTGGGTGGCTGACCAGGTCTGTGAGCGGCACTTCCCCAAGGTGCTGGCTCTTGTGGGGACTAGGACCGCTCTGGGAGCTGGGCTCTGTGCCCCAGCAGGGCCCCGGGCAGGTTTCCAGTGTCCTGGCCCAGCAGCCCCTGCACAGGGGAGACCAGGGGTTTGTGGAAAGAGCCACTCTGAGTGCTGTCCAGGGCCAGGCAGGGCTGTCCCCACCACACGCTCACAGACACACACATGTGCACATGGTCTATCTTCACACTGACCGCAGTGCACATGCATGGGCATGTCCTCAGGACACGTGCACATACGTGCACACACATGCGTTCATACTCCCCTGTGGCACCTCTCTGTGACGGCTACTTTCACGTCCTGCCAAATCCAGGGACAACAGGAAAGTGGAGTTGTTTAAAGGGACACTCGTGTCATGAAAGGACACACAGGGACCAGCAAGGCTGTGCCTTTCTTCTTTGGGAATCTTGGTAAAAACTGATACAAACACGTGACTGGAAATGCACTCGCTCTTTACACTTCAGATCAAACCAGTGGGGTTCACTGTCCATGCCATAGTCACCACCTCGGACCTGGAGCTCAGCCCCTCAGAGGTGGACTTTGGCTACTGCACCATCTACGAGGCCATCAGGACCTCAGTCAGCCTCTGCAACCGCTCCCTCCTACCCCAGGAGTTCGGGTTCGTCGGGCTCCCTAAGGTGCCTCGCGTGGGCAGGGAGGGGTGTGGGGACATGGGGGCTGGGTTGGGATGCTCTGGGGACAGGCTAGGGCATCTGCTGCCCTGGGGTCCAGGTGGCCTCACCCCTCCCTGGACTCCACGCCCACCTCTAGACCTCAGCCTCTGCTGGCTCTCTGCTCGTCCCCCTCCTCACCCCCACTGCCCCCGTCACCGCCTCACCCCCACTGCCCCCGTCACCGCCTCACCCTGCCTCTCCCAGTCCCTTCGTACCTCTCTCCTTCTCTCTGGCCCACCGCACCCACCAGTTTCAGACTCCTCTCCCCTCCCTTCCCTCCAGTACTGTTGACTGCCTGGCCCTTCGGGGCACCCAAGACCAGACCCCTCCCTGGGCTGCCCCACCACGGACCCCGCCATCCACTCACACGCATGCAGACATGCACTCACAACACACAGACTCATGCTCACATACACACAGACACATACACAAACATGTGCTCATGTGCAGGCAGACACACAATCATACATGTAAACGGACACACATGCATGCACTCACATGCAGGCAGACACATTCATGCATGTAAACACAGACACACGAACGTGCTCACATGCATACAGACATGCTCACACACATAGACACACTCATGTACACACACTCACATACATATATACGTGCTCATATGCAGACTCACACACATGCAGACATGCTCACATGCGCAGATATGGACTGACACGTAACCACTCACTGACACACCCACGCACACGTGCACACACTCACATACATGCAGACTGACACGTTGGCACTCGCTCACGCACCATGCCACATGTGTGTCCCCAGGCCCCCGTGACCCTCTCAGCAGATCAGTGTTTTCACTTGGGACCATGGTCTCCCTCCTGCAGTTTGTGGACATCCAGCCCAACGATGGGTTTGGGACGATCCTGCCACTGGACACCCTGGAGCTCGACGTGATCTTTCAGCCCACCAAGGCCAAGATGTACAGCTTCACTCTCACCTGCAAGTCAGAGATCAACCGGTGAGCCTGCAGGGGGCACAGAGAGCCACTCAGAGGGGCCACCCCTCCCGCACTTTCCAGCCACTGGCCAGCCACCTGCCTGACCGTGGGGCTGGGCACCACTGCTGGCTGCAGGAACCTGAGATTGGGGTGCAGATGCCTGGGATCTGGGGCCTTGCACGCTGGGTTAACTCAAGCCTCTGTGTGTGTGTGTGTGTGTGTGTTTGTGTGTATAAGTGGGTGTGTATTGTGAGCATGTGTGTGTGAGTACACGTGGATTGAAAGTTTGAGTGTGTGAGCAGTATGTGTGTGTGCATGTATGTGAGTGTGCATGCATAAAAATGTGAGTGTGTGTGTGAGCATGCACATGTGAATGTGTGTGTGTGCATGGGGCATTCATGTGTGGACATGGGTGTGTGTGTGTGAGCATGTGTGTGGATGTGTGTGTGAGCATGCATGTGTGTGGGTGTGCATGTGTGGGCATATGTACATGCATGTGAGCATGCACAGATGGGTGGGTGGGTGTGCATGTGTGTGAATTTGAGCGTACACACATGGACATGTGTGTGCACATATGCACATGTGAACATGTGTGTGTCGTGCAGAGCACCCTCTGCACTCTGGAGGACCTCAGCATGAGCAGTGCTGCTTGAATGTGCTGTGTGACTGGGCCACTCTTGGAACCTCCCTGAGCCTTCATTTTGCCCTGAGATAAGGGGCTGAGAAGAAGGTGGAGAGGGAGAAAGGAGGCAGACGTGCGGAAGTGGTGTTCTGGGGTGAGGGGCGGGCTCTGGCTGCTGCCCAGGATGAGCAGCCTGGTGAGGAGTGTCCTGGAGTGTCCCTGTGCATCAGGCCACCTCCCATCGAGCCGTGCTGTGCTGCCCGCCTACCCCTCACCCCTTTCTCTCTCCTCCTGTCAACACACACACACACACACACACACACACACACACACACACACATGCGTGCTGCAGCCTGAGACGTTGTATGATCCTAACTGGGACCCTGGGCAACCATTGATGGAGTCCAGCTGGCCCCTTGTCCCACAGACCAGGCCCCCACCAGCAGGGCACGTGACCGTGGGCAGGATGGACAGGCCACCTGGGACTGACAAGTCGGGGAGCAGGACTGAGTTCGTGGGTGGTGAGATTTTAGGGAGTGAGAACAGACTTAACCTCTGTAGCAAATGGAAGGGACCAGACCCCACCCACCTGCCTCGCCCTCCCCCCATCCCACTAGGCTCTGCTGGCCCGTGGTGTGCTGACACTTCGGTGGCTTGTTCACATCTCTCTGGCCCTCTGGAGAAGAGGGGCTCCTATCCCAGTGCCCCGCACAGGCTCCGTGGAGGGTTACAGGAAAGTCAAGCCACGAGGCAGCCATAATGACAGCCACCGAGTGAGTGGCCTGACGGGCTCTGCAGCCCAGACGGGCCCCACTGCCCACACTGCATAGCTGAGAACCTCACTTTCCAGCCTGGCGCCCTGAGTGTGGCTACCTGCCATCTCCCCTGGAGGTCCACGAGATGTCGGCGATCTGGACACCTCTGCGCTCCCCACATGCTCCCACACCTGAGCCTCCCTGTTGCTCACCTCAGCTCGTCCTCACCTCGCATCCACACTGTCTATCAATCCTGTAGTCTCCACCTTGAAAATGCTCCTGAGTCACCCATGCCCTCATCTGGACAGCAGGGCACCTCCTGGCCTGTCCCCTGCCTCCCTGTCAGAGCACATCCCTCCCACAGGACAGACACCCTGCCTACGTCTCCCACACGGCCTGGGCCTCCTGCACCAATCAGCCCCTCCCATCACATGATGGGCACCCGCTCACCTGCTGGTCAAGCAGGTGGCTCCAGGCTGGGGCGGTGACACACAAAGCAGGTTCTGTGTGAGCCCAAACGCTCACTTCCCTGGGCTAAATGTCTGGGAATGGGATTGCGTGGTCCTAGGCTAACTTCGTGTTTAATTTCTAAAAGAGCACCAAACCGTTTCCCAAAGTGGCTGTACCATTTTCACTTCTCACCAGGAGTTGCTGCTTTCAGATTTTAGATTTTTGATTTTTTTTTTAGCTAAGCCATCCTGCCACCTGTTGGCAGCTCAGCAGCAGCTCAGCTCGGACTGGGCATCGAACCTCTGTTGCTCAGAACACTCTCGAGCGAGCTCTTAACCAACTGAGCCACTCGGCCGGCCCTGTCAGATTTTTTTGTTTGGGGTATGGAGAGGCACTATAATAGGGGTGTATGGCATCTCCTTGTGACTTAATTTCCATTCCCCTAGTGACCAAGGTTAAGCACCTCTTATGTGCTTATCTGCCACCTGGATATCTTTGGTGAAAGGTGTGTTTAGATCTTTTTTTAAATTAGGTTTTTTTTATTGAATTTGGAGAGCTTTTTGCTTGAGGCATAATTGATATACCATATTGTATCAGCTTCAGGTGTACATCATAACGCTTGGATATTTGCAAATGTTGCAAAATGATCGCCACAGTAAGTCTCTTAACATCATCACACACGTAGTTATAGGTTTCTTTTCTTGTGATGAGAACTTTTAAGATCTACTCTCTGAGCAGCTTTCCAGCATGCAGCACCATGTAAACTGAAGTTGCCAAGCTGAGCATCACATCCCCAGGACTTACATTTATTATATTCTGATACAAATCCTTTGTCAGACTTACAAAGAATTGTTCCGTCTGTGGCTTCTCTTTTCATTCTCTTACCAGTGTCTCCTGTAAAGCAAAAGTTTTTAATTTTCATGAAGTCCTGTTTATCAACTTTTTCCATATAGATCATGAGTTTAGCATCACATTCAATACTTTTTTCCTAACCCAAAGTCACACAGATTTTCCTCTAAAGTTTTATATATTTACATTTTACATGTGGGTCAACAATTCCTTTTGATCAGCTTTTGCATAAAATGTGAGATGTGGCAGGAAGTCTGGTTTACTTTTCTTCCAGTTTTACTGGTGTCATTGCTGAAAAGACTCTTCTTGGGGGCTGGAACAGAGAACAGCGCCCCGCACTTCTCATGTGCTGGTGACAGTTTGCCTGCAGCCTTTAAGACTTGGAAGTCTATTCAGCTGAGTATCTTAAACACAAACATATTAACTATCCAGTGTCTTGTGGAATAAAACACATCTGTCAAAGTCTGATGGAACCCGAGTTTCCTTTTGCCTGGGTACCTAAGGGACTTATTTCTTCTTATTTAAAAATCCAATCTTATCATTGGTTGTTCTGGATCCATTTTCCCAGGTGCATTGTGTTTTTCAAATCTTTCAGGAACATTTCCTTAAATATTAATCCTTAATATTTGCTTCTGTTCTCTCCTTTGGGGCCTCCTGTTATAAATATGATGGGTCTTTGCTTCTCCTCCACTTGCCACCACCTCTGCACTCCTTTTCATCACTTTTTCTTTTAAGATTTTATTCGGGAATTGGGGAAGGGGAACAGCCAAGTTGTTGTCCTTCAGTCTTAGTTGTGGAGGGCGCAGCTAGCTCAGCTCCAAGTCCAGTCGCCATCCAGCCCCCGTCGGCAGCTTGCGGCTGCTCAGCTCAAGGTGTTGTGCTCAATCTTAGCGGCGGGTGGGCGTAGCTCACGATCCCATGTGGGAGTAGAACTGACAACCTTGTTGTTAGGAGCACGTGCTCTCACCAGCTGAGCCACCCTGCCACCTGTTGGCAGCTCAGTGGCAGCTCAGCTCAGGTGCAGCTCACTGGCCCATGTGGGAATCGAACCGGCGACCCTGTTGCTCAGAGCTCGTGCTCTTAACCAACTGAGCCACTTCGCTGGCCCTCATCACTTCTTTATTCCTTCAGTGTTTCACCTTGTAGCTGGTCTTTCCCTTAAAGAATTTTCTGCCTGTTCCTTCATCCCTGGGCCCTTTGAGCTGAGCCTTCATTTCTAAATGACTCTTACTTACTATTCATTCCTGAGCCCTGACGCCTCACTTCTGAGCCCTGTGGTTCTGACGTGTGCTGTTTCTCGTCTTCGTTTTCTCAAGTCTCCAAGCGCACTGTGAGTTCCCGCGTTATCACTCCCATCCTTCCACGGCACTTCTCTCTGGAGGCTTCTATTGTCGGCATGAACTGTTTTGTTCCTTATTCTCTTTTGTCTAATAACGTTACTTGTGATTTGTTTGATCTTGGTCTTTTTCTGCTACTCATCTCACTGTGCAGTATCTTCTTCTGAACCTTTGGAAGGGAGCCAGTTTTCAACCCTATTCTCACTTGCTGGCTCTAGAGCGCCCTCTCCCGGGTGTGTGTGGGAACCGCTGGGAAACATGGTCTCTGGCTCCTCAGCTCGGCCTCCTCTGCTCCTAATGGAAGTCCATGCCGGGTGTTCAGCCCTGCCAGGGTGCCAGGACTGAAGGGTTTCCAGGATGTGGGACTTCAGCACTAAAGCCTGGGGCTACCCCTCATTAATGGTATCATACTCCACCTATTGATCTATGTTTTGCTTTTACGTTTTCCCCCAACTTTATATTTTTGTAATTGATCCATGTTGGCACACCTAAGGGTTCAACTTGGACGTGTTAAGTTTGAGGGCTTGTGAATCATCAAAAGCAGTGCTTTGAGGGAAATTTCTGAATGCATATAAAGAAGAGAACTTAAAAACCAATATAATCGAGACTCCCTTTTCAAGAATTAGGAAAAGAGCAAATTAAACCCAAAGAAAGTGGGCATAGTAATGAGTGGAAGCCAGTGAAAGAGAAACCAAATATTCAACAGAGAAAAACAATGAAACAAAGGTTTTTTTGTAAAAATTAGTAAATGTGTTACTCCTAGCAAGACCAATCAAGATAAAATAGAGAGAAATCACAAATTACCAATCTCAAGAATGAAAAAGGACATCACTACAGAGCCTACAAACATCAGAACGATAATAAGGGACTGGTATGAACAACTTTACACCAGTGAATGTGACCATTTGGATGAAATGGACAAATTCCTCAAAAAACACAACTTACCAAACCTAACACAAAAGAAAAGTAGAAACTGAGTAGGTGAACAACTATTAAGGAATCCAAACCCGAAGTTTAAAAGCTTCCCACAATGAAGAATGCAGATAGCTTCACTGATGAATTCTTCCAGGCACTTAAAGAAAAAATAATGCCAATCTTACAAAAATCTTCCAAATAGCAGAAAAAGAAGGCAAACCTCACTGCCATCAACAAGGTGAGGGGCAATGGGCACTGGGAATTCAGAAACGTTCAGATCGGGGCTCAGGGCCTGCCTAGTGAGAGCCGAGAACAGCCGGGAACAGTCCTGAGCTGTGCCTGTGGGTACTTGAGGCCTCAGGGCCCACGATCATCAGCCATCAGCCACCTACATGAACAGGAGGTGTGCTGATGGGAAGTGAGGTCAGGCACGCTTTGCCTCTAAACTTAGATGGGGGATATTATCACATACTGATCGAGCAAGTCTTTACCTCAGTGGTTTTTGGAACGAAACATTTTAAAGCACATGCTGAGATAAAGCATTTGTCAGAAAATGTGGTGGTGTTGAAGTGTGCTGGGATGACAGTGAACGGTCAGCCCAGCCCTTTCTCAAGGTCCTGCGTTAAACCCGCTGCCTCCCAGTCATCAAGACGACAGTATCCAGCAAGGCTCAGCTGGGCCTCCGGATGCGACTTCTGGCGGGCAAGGGGGCTTGGGGCGGGTTGGCGGGGAGCTCTCTCCCATCAACAGAGTGACAGAGGATCTAAATGAGTTGCCAGAGGTAGACTATCCAAAATGATGTTGGAAGATATGTGAACAACGTTGGGAAGCAAAGCTCTCTCACCCCTGTTCCTGGGTCCGTGGAATGAAGGAAGCCCTGGCCACTGGGCCACAAGTCACATAACTCAGGGACCTGAACCAACTGGGAAAGAACAGCTCGGTCCACATTCCTAAGAATGATGTCTTTTTATATGTAGAGATCACTGCATTTCATCTCAGCCTTTTCAATTAATTGAGAAAAATAATAACCTCAGTAATACCTCTAACCCAGAGGGAATTTTTTTTTTAACATTTAGAGCCTGTGGTTGCAGGACATAAAAATACACATTGAAATATTTCAACATGTGAACATGTTTTTGTTACAGACAAGTGTGATAGAGCAATCAACATCATCCTTTAAAATATTAAAATAGGGCCGGCCGAGTGGCGCGATGGTTAAGAACTCGCTTGGGATGCCAGAGGGCCCCGGTTCGGATCCCACATATGAGGGCCAGT